GGTCTCCCCTAGGCTGGGCATGCTACAGCCCCAAGCTCAGCTTTGGTCTCTCCTCCGACCACACCAAGGGGTGCTCCCCCTTCCAGGCTCCCTGGGTCTGCTTAGACCATGAACTGTTTGGGCCAGGATCTGTTTGTTTATAGTATTTAGCATAATAAAGCTTTAATCCCAGATATATCCCCTACGTGCCACCGTGCTGCTGATGGCAGGCAAAGAAAGGTGCGTTTTGTAAGGATGCACTTTCCCATGCAAATCTTGCTTAATGCGGAAGCCTGGGCAAACCGTGCGCCTTAACACCAAACATGTTTGTGTTTCGGTTTGTTTTGAAAAGCTGATGGCACAGATTTCCCCCTCAGTATTTTACATATATGTATATATACGTATATACATCTATTTTCCACATCTTTACATATATGCATACAAATATATATACATTTTATCCAATTTTCACATATACACATACACACATATACATATATTTTACATATATGCATATGTATATACCTATATTTTCCCCAATTTTTACATATCTATATATAATTCATACATATCACCCTCCTGTATTACATACAGATGACACACGTGCACACAACACTAAGTCCAATAACCAAACCTCTCTGCTTCCACCATCAAATAAATTGCTACCATCTCAGCTAAACGCGCAGATGGAGCAAAATTACTATACTTAAGGCATGTAAAAGGGAAAGCCGAGGCATGTGAGCTTCCTAAAGACACCTTCGCACCAAGCCAGAGAGAGCCCTGCATGGAATAAGGATGGGGTAACAGGCTTTACTGGAGCCTACAGCCCATCGTATTAGATCGAGATCCATTTTTATGAATTACTGCTTGGTCAATAGCGTTGCAGTGCCAATGCAACTGGCTCTAAGGCATGCCAGTTTAAGAGCCCAGAACTAAAGAAAATTAATCCAGTGCACAGTAATGATTAAAATTGGCTGACAGGTCTCAAAGCGCAATGAAAAATACAAAATTATCCTTAGGCAAGTGATTTTCTGCTGGAGTTCTGCAGGGATTGCTTTTTACTGTTCTTTTAACTCCCCCTTCCCTTCAGCAATCCTGGAAGAAAACCAGCGACTGCGGTTGCAGACAATACAGGGATTAGGGGAACAGAAAGCATCAAAGAGAGCAGGCCACTGATACAGATTGATCTGAACTGCGTGGGTAAGTCAGACAGAAAATACTGTGTGTGTTTTAACAGACAAAAAAAATAAATTCTTTAAGTTAGGGTGTGCTGCAGAATGGAACACAGAGCTTGGAAACAAGGGATGGGTCTCGGTCACCTTCGGTGATGACATCTGAGCTGCCTTTACAATCCATGGTGTTTAGATCTCGACACCTCCACACTGCAGGGAGGACTGGGAACAGGAGGCGACACACACAGTGTGAGAGCCACAAGAGGAGGAGAGTAAAAGCAATTAGTGCTTTGGGAACTGGCTAGGATCAGGTCTTCTCTGGTGAAATACAGCTCTGAAGTGCATCCAGAAAGAGTCCTCAATATGGTGGACTGATCAGCTGAGACATCTTCTAGAGGCTTAAGGACCACGAAGCAATGCAGATGTAAAAGATGGAAAGGATAAGTCCTTACCTGGCTGATAATCCTCCCTTTTTATGTCCACCCTCACTCCTCCAAGAGCTCCTCAGGTCCCTTTCTCCTGAACATGGGCCCCAACACTTGAAAGGACACTGTGGCCACATCCACAGCTTCCAAGAGCTGCGTCCCCTTGCACTGTAAGCAAGAGCTTTGGCAAACCACCACCGAGAGCAACAAGCTACCCTCGTCACTGCAGAGCATTGTTTCTTCCTGCCAAGCAGTGTAAGAGAACTCCATGATCCAAATTTCATAACCTTGCTCCTACAAGGGACTACCCAACACACTGAGCTGTGAGAAGTTTCTTCCAGCTATTTCATGCACTCTGCTTAACCACAGCTCTCCTCACCGGGCAGACACAAGGGCTCTGAGACAGGCACAGTCGAGAAACAGCAAGGAAAACACCCAGGCAAAGTCAAGTTCATGGACACGTCTACACAATGTTCTGCAGCTGGGCATGGACTTACTGTGGTCCAGTCCATCAGCATCTCAGCTGGCTTTCCCATCATTTCTGTTGGGAATTCAGTTACCTAAATAATTGCATTGTTCAAAAAAAAAAAAAAAAAAAATCTAGCTGATATATTAGAAGCATGACTCAAACACCCGTTAACTCGACTATATTCAATTCACTATCTTGACTAGCAGAGTTGCTACTACAAAATTCCATAGCTCACAGAAGCATCATGTTAGTTTTATGCTATATAAATACTAATTTGTGACCACAATCTGAAAGTAAGAAAACTCCTACTAGGAATAATTTTAAAGAGATGCAGCTTCAGGTAGATTTTCATGGGCAAAAGGAGAAGATGTGACCTCAGGCAATACATTCCCAAAATTTCAGCCTTTATGCCTAGGAACAGGAACTATGTGATTTCCCCCAAAGCAGCTGCCAGAATACAGCATCTCAAGACATTACCTCTAAACTTCTTCTAAAATGTCTAAACTATTTCTTGCTGAAAGTTTCCAAAATTCCCAATGCAAAATGTGTCAGCACTGAAGCTCCCAGTTTGGAAAAATAATAAAAACTGAAACAAAGCATCTGAATGAGAAGGTTTAGGCATCCTCAGCATAGATGTCACCACCAGGCTCCTCCTCATCTTTCATACACACTAATACAGAATGGCACAGAATTTTACATGATGTTATTGCACAAGTATTTAAGTATCACTACCCACTACGATACACAAAGCCAAGGGCAGCTGTGCAACCTTACCCTTGCTAAAACCTCAAACCAAGCGTTTTAAGACCAGTATCAAGATGGCTGGAAATTAGTTTGTATGTTCAGAGAGGACCCAAAGTGAGACTCCCTGTAACCCAAGGAGACTGCTCTCCCCATCCCAGGTGGAACAGAGCTCTGAAGTCCCATTATGGGGTCACACGGCGACTGAACTTTCAGGTTCAAGTTTTTACTGCTGGATCCACTTTCTTTTCACAGCAACCACCTTCTGACAGGCAGGAGAGAAATCTGATGCTTGCCATGAGGCACACGGTGACTTTTGGCTAATCCCGTTTAATGCAGAATTCCCAAAGTGCCTCTCAAGCAAGGGGTCAGCTAATCCCATTCACTGACTGGATTTTTTTTTACTCCTAGAAAATGGAAAGTGGCTGAAAACAAGAATATTTCCTTTTATTTTGATTTACAGATATTGCTTTGAAGAGGGAAACGATGACATTTGGATATTTGGAAAATTAAATGTGAGCTGTTCCTGTACATTACCATTAAACCAGTAACTTTTATTAGATGTTAGAGAACAAGGGGCTTTTAGACCAGCTCTCTCATTTAACCAGCTGTGCTGGAAGTTGTCATCTGAAGCAGTAAAAAAATGCTAGTATTGTATTAAGTGAAGATTAAACAGCATATAAAAGTATTGAACTGCCATTCTACTCCAGGCAGTGATTAGATAAAAAACAATTCTTTTCAGAGATAAAAATGTCATTGTTAAGTCAGTATAAGAAATTTAAGATCAATAGTTTATACCCTTATGTGAAAAGTGCAGTATTTTAGACTGATGGCCACACAAGGCACTTTCTTAAAATTAAGAACATGTGCCTCATACTGAGCTACACTCAGTACATGACAAAAAGGCTGGGTACTTTGCAGTAACATCCGAGCAAAAGGAACAGCAAACCAGGGCAGTCTGAACCCTGAACATACAGGATCTGCAGCGTAATCAATGGCTTCACAGCTCTTCCCAATGTTAAAGACTTGTTAAGGCACGGAGGAGCACCAGCTATCTGAAGATGCCACCTGTGTTCAAAACACGCCAGGCATGAAAGAACTCCAGCTACTTCCCAGGATTCCCAAAATGAAGCATGTTGCTTTACAATACCCAATCCTGAGCCTTCAGGAGTAGCTACCTTTGGAATTAAACTGTATTTAGGTAAAAGCAAAACCAGAGAGTGTTTTCTGTTGCTTTTCAGCACCGAATTTCCCAAAACAAGTTATGCCGATGCTGAGAATTCATTTCAAATGAACTTAGCACCTACCTCCAGCAGTGGTGGCAAGTGGCTAAACCAGTATTCTCTTCTCCAATTCACGAAAATCATTACCCAGGGACCTAATGTAACCTAAATTCGCTCTCATTGTCCTGCCACTTGTAGCTCTGTATGAATATTACCTATAAAGACTCCTCTTTATGGGTCATAAATGGAGCATGATATTGTGAATGGCAAAAGCCAACACTGCGCGTGATGCTGAACAACAATCCTCATGAGAACCTGTTCTGGAGGAGTAAGGGAATAATGCTGAAGGTCTGTTCACTCCACACACCATTCCTCTACAGAGTTACTTTTATATGATTGCTGCAATGCAGTCACTGCTGTGATGCTTGTCTGGACAGTCCCAAACTTGCTCTACGGTACAAAGGCGATTATTGCTAGTTTGGCTACAAAACAAGAAGCTCAATGCAAGATAACCGCGTAAGTGTTCAGTCCACCAATAAAACAGCTTTGGCACATTGATTTACAAGAGAGAATTTTCAGGAAACAGATGACATTTTACAGCTCAAGCAATAAATCATCTGCTGATACCAGGGGCAGAGAGTGCAATTTGGGAAAGGAATAGCTGTATCTTAATTTTACATGTTAAGGGTTTGATTGCAAGGAGTATTCAGGAGACACTGTGACACACTCAAAATGCATCTTCAGTGATATTTGTCCCCAAACACCCACTCTCTAACACACGCATACAGGGAAGGTAGAAGGGGCAAGCAAAATGTTGTAGCTGAAAAGCATGTCCCAAAAACATAAGGAAAAAACCGTTGCTCTGGTATCCTAGTAATGCGGTGAAGTAACACAGATAAAGCTCAGGACTAGCATCAAAATTACTTCAGGGGAAGTTTCTGATTTGGCATGCTAGACTGAGTTTTCAACAAAATCCATCCCCAACACTGACCTCTTGAAGTGATTTGCCAGGACTCCCACCAGCTCTCCAATCCTGCTGTCATTAGAGGGCTCTTTACTGAAGAGACAGACAATGAGATCCTTGTTGTCTTTTGTGTGGAAGACCACGAGCTGGTCCTTTCCATTGGAGACACTCAATCCTATCAACTGTGAAGAGAAAGCAAGAACAATGTTATGTACATCAATATATCTTTGCTACTTGCCAGGCTAGTTCCTTCCTCTCCAGGATGCCACGCTCGCTCGCAACATCTGCCTCTACCAGAAAGCTCAAGGCAATGGCAGCATGCAGGTCCTCACGCCTGCTGAAAAAGTCAAGGCGAAACAACAGGGTTATTTGGGAAGTCAACAGTCTCAAAGGTGCAAGGGAATTTTACCGTCTAGGCTGGTTCACTCTGAGCAGCTCTTGCTAGAAGCAGCACTGTCCCGTGTCACTATGGTGCCCTTCTGCCTATCCAGTACCATGGGCCACCCCTTGGTGCACCAGGGGGATTTCTAACAGCCGAAGCTTGCATTTCCCAAAATCTCACACTGGATGACACCACATTGCTCAGTGGCAGAGCCACAAGCCTGCTTTTTTTACTTTTCAAAGGAAACCAACAGTAATCATGAGTCTGGCCAACAACCATTTTCAAATCTTCAGTAAGAGGAAACGGTCTCAAGTTGTGCCAGGACATCAGGAAAAATTTTTTCACCGAAAGGGTTGTCAAGCACTGGAAGGGGCTGCCCAGGGAAGGGGTTGAGTCCCCATCCCTGGTGGGATTTAAAAGCCGGGCAGACGAGGTGCTTAGGGACAGGGTTTAGTGGTGGGATGGCAGGGTTAGGGGAACGGTTGGGCTTGATGATCCTAAAGGGCTTTTCCAACCTAAACTATTCTGTAATTCTATGAAAATTCACATACACAGCGCTGGGTACCCAATGATATGCAGATAACATAAGAATGAAGTTTTTTACTGAAAGCCTAAGCATCTTGATGAATAATATAAGTTGCAAACCCCACAAAGCCATGGTGATTCCAGTATTTAGGCATGGATTAAGGTCTTGCTGTTCTGACAAAATAAAAAGGTTTAGGTTTTTTTTTGGTTTGTTTTTTTTTTTTGTCTGTTAAGTAACTGCGGCTTGGCACATTAAAAGCTTTGTCCCCATCATCTCACAAAGCAAAAGCAGGAAATTTTTAGCGTTGCAATCTGGGTACACAGGCTATTCAGATGAATATTAGAAAAAGCAAAAAAATGAATCTGTGCTGGGGAAACAAAATATAGGGATGGCAAAAGGACATCAAGAGGCAAGGACATTCAATAAACCAGTGCTAAAAAAATAAAATAAATTCTTAAAAAGAGAGAGAGGAAGCAAAAGAATGATGAGTACAGAGAGGGAATACAGCATTTTCCCTGTCCACTACAGGACTATGCGACTCCTTTGAGTCATCCATGGATTTGCAGAGAGAAACCACATTCTCCTGAAAGTGAGAGGCATCAATACAGCATTTTGTGGAAATGAAAGTCTCATTATTCCCTTCTTAAAGAAAAAAGCCTTCTACGTAACCCCACTACCTGGGTTGGAAAGGATATTAGCACAAACCGAGCTGGAGACGACTCACTCCTTTCAGAAGCATGAATCATATTCAGAAACAGTCTGGATCCATATGTTTGGTTTAGCAGTCACAACGTATTACTTCCAAGAAACCTGTTCCAGCTCTGGATGTCTAACACATACCAGACAGCAGCATCGTCCCACAAAAGCATTCCACAACCAACATACAGCAGTGCGGTAGATGCTTTCTTTCCTGGATAAAACACTGCACAAGTTGAGAATCACTCGTATTTTGTTGGCTTATTATCCTAGTACACCAGTCTGTCTGCACTACTGCAACTGCTGATATTTTAAACACTGAGAAGGGACCTCCTGCTACCAGTTGTATATACCCAGCACAGGTGGAGTTTATTCTCTGCTGTTCACGCTATTTTGAGGTTATGAAATACTTTAAAAACAAGACATGCACAGACATTAACAGCTGCCTGGGTTTATAGTGTCCCTTAAAATTAATTTGCATGCTTAAATAACATCCTGTGAGCACAATAGCACCACAGGGACTACTACCATCAAGGTTTTAAATGTGCACCAAGTGTGAAAGATGAACAAGTTGAAATACTTGGATTTGAAAAGCCTATTTAAACATTAATTATTCAACAGAACCATGTCAGAAGTCCAAGAGCCCTTCAAAATGTTCCTATTTCACCCCTCCCCATAAGCCTATCTGAACAAATAAATATACCACAAAAGACATAATTTCAGAGGAGGTGCTTATCTCGGTATTTACAAACACTAATATTAGCTCTGCTTGAAGATCAGGAAAAAATCCTCAGCATCTGCAGAACACCCTTTATTGTATTCACCACTGTAATGGGAAAAGCAGTTGCAAGATCCTTTCTGCTACTCAGTCGCCTTTTAATTCCTTTCTGCCATTATCTCTTTATTTTCTCTCCAGGTAAGAACAAAAACATAATTGTGTATTGGTACTTCTGAGGCAACTGCCAGAACGCTTGCACACAGAAAATCCCCCAAAGCATCATCTCAATCCAGAGGAATAGTCAGGGTTGAAAGGAAAGTTACTGCTTTGTCATCATGTGCACAAAATTACAGATTCCTCGCACAGAATGCAGAGCTTGGGACCCGAGCAGGCACGCATTACGGGCTGTACTGAAACCATTTACATGTAAACATAGTTAAAGGACGTGGGGAACTGTAGGGCAATTTCTTCAGCTGCGAACAAGTTTATGGTCGTAACAGACATCAGCTGACTGTCTCCAATGAGATTTCCATGGAAACACCATCCCTAAGGATGCTGCCGTGTTGATAGGGTGCTTTCGAAATGCTGATAGCGAGCAGCACAGCAAACAGGCAGACTAATTTCAGCTGGGTTCACCTTTACATATCGGAAGGGCAATCCATCTTCCCCAGCGAACCTGCATCTTCCTGGTAGGACATATCTGACACACTGATACACATCACGACTGGTGTAATTATTATCCATTTGCTTCCCACAAATCTTCGTCTCAGTTCAAACAATTGTTCCTTTCCCACAAGGGAAGGAATCTGTGTCACAAATTGGGCTACTTACACCTCCTTGTACAATGTCAAATGGTTTCCACACAAGAAGGGACTGGGCATGCAGAAAACCAAGAGAGATGCAAGGCAGCTCAAGAGGTGAAACCCAACACATATGCAAATCATTAAGGAACAAAATATAAAACATAACTACAAAAAGGAAAAAAACAACTGCATTGTAGCATTAGCCATTTGTTGGAGTTCAATTTAAGAAATCCTGGCCAAAGAAATACAAATATTTCACGTACTGCATATGAGCTGAATCCATTTCCAAACTCTCTCCTCCTCTCCCTGCGGCGCAGAGAGGGGTCAGCAGTAAATCAACAGGATCAGTGAGCATGCCCTAGCACCGTGATGCAATCCTGGTGTGTCCACGCAGATTTTCTACTGTTCCCCAGGACCACAGTGCAGGAGAAGCATGTGAAAGGAGAGGCTGTGGCCAACAGAGCAGAAATTTAACACTACAGCATTTACCAAAGAGACCTTTCCACAAATTTCCACTCTGGGATATTATTCTGAAACCTGTATGAGTCAGTGAAGGGCCTTTTGGACCCATCCCTCCTGTGCAAAGTATTCCAGGATCACTTCACAGTTCCTCAGGTCAAGGAAACTGTTCAGTCAGGAAGCCTTGTGGTAAAGGGATAGTTGCAGATCTACAAATAAAGCTGATTTATATCTACAGAAATTTAAGTATTCTAAGAGCAAGAGACCCATACGCATAGACCATTAACTGTTTCGCTGCTGGAGGAAATGCAAAGCAGACAGCCAAAATATAGCCTGCTCTACAGCACCTTGTATGAATGGACACTATTTTAGACATCCGTGTTTTGTAGAAAAAACAATAATTGCTAACATTTCTAAGTAACAGAGATTCTGCAGGCAACCTACAAATTGTATCCGACTTGCTTGCCTCCTTTAATTTTTTAAGGCATTAAGGATTTCAGAGGAAAACATTCAGGCTACCAACACACTGACCCAGTCCTGTGCCATTACATGAATGTACAAGCTCCACCTTTAAACCCATCAGACACTTAGGTAAAGCAGACGTTTTTCTAGAGCTGTGATAAATACAGATTTACCTGTAATTACTAATGCAGTAAGTGAATTGAAGTGGCCTACCCATTTTGTATAAGGTAAGAGTGCAGAAAACTAATAGTGAGAAATTGTGACAGACAAAATTCCACCTTGTCTGCCTGAGATCACCTTGATACTTCACAAAAAAATGCCCGTCTAGCAAAACCACTCCAGTCTCTTCCAGTCTCTGTATTTGAACAAGCTGGTTTGCACAAGCAGGAGTCAGCCATTCAGCAGCGTAATCTGCTGACAATTTCATTTTGCACAATTAAGAGAGAATGTCAGTGGAACAGAACATCAACTGAGGAAAATGACCTGCAGCTGCTAACTCCCTGGCAGTAATGTCTTTTCAAAACAGGAGGCACTGCCACGGAGATGCTGCTGTGCTACAGTAAACACTGTTACGAGGGCAAGCGAATGAGGTGGGCGAGCAAATGAGGCGGGCAAGCACGTTGCTCCAGACAGGCTGCGGTGGGTGGTCAGTGCCAGCTTAGGTGGATGACCAGCAAGGAGGTTGGAAGAGGAGCTATAAAACCAACCTTACAGATGCAGCCTGAGCTAATCATTCACTCCACATGTGCAGATTAGATTTTAACCTTACCCTAATCCCATCTCTGCTGTTTTAGCAATACGGCACTGCCAGACAGATTATTTTTCCAAATGCAAACATCCCAACAAATTTGTGTACAACATTTCCAAGCAACCCAGCCAGGTTCTGTAGGTTTGCGATAACCATAGTAGTGTTACCTCAGGCTGAGGAAAACAAACAAGCAGTTGAATCCATGCTCCAGGATGCTGAAGAGCTAAAATGAGGTTTTCCCCCATTTCTCTTCCTACCAGTGATAATCTGCTGCTTTGTCACTGACAGCTAAACTCTGCTACCCCAAAGGCCAGATACCTCGCTATAATTCCAAATTTAGCTTTGATAAGATTTACATTAAACATGAACAAATATAAAAAAAAATTAAAATATGACACGAAGGATCAAACAAACCCCCAGAGACACAGAAATTGTGTCATAAGCTGCTGTGAAATGCTAACACTGTTATGGGGCCAAGATCTTGTGGTGCATGGCAAATAAAAAACAAAATAGAAGAACGAGCAGAAGAGAGCGTGATAAGCGGTTTAGGTTTTAGCTTTTATTTTATGCACTGAAATTAAGCACTGAAAGCCAACATGATGCATCAGTCTTGTAGGTAACTGTACGAGTTTTAAAGACATTAAATATATTAAAAATTGTAAACCAAAGTCTTTTTCCATTTTATGGATATGAAAATAGAACTAAAGAGTAGACGCACTGCCCATGACTAAGAGAGCCTGAGATGAGATTCCCTCGTCCTTGTACTTACATTGTAGAGGGGGATGGTCTTCATCACTTTGTACTGCTTCATAGGGTCCATCTTATAAAGGTGCCGATCAGTAATGAAGATTGCTCTATCCTCCACCTTATTAAAGCGGTTGACCTGTAAAGAAACAAATTTTCAGTTCTGCTAATCACTTCAAGAACGTGCAGAATAAAACTCTGCAGCAGTAAATATGCAACACTCACATAGCACATACACAAAACTCACATAGCTCTTAAGCAGGTTTTCCCCACAGATCTTGAAAAGGGAAGATGGACCCCGTAACCCCGTTTTACAAATAGAGAAATGCAGTGTTGGAGAAGCAACATTCCAAGAGTTATCCAGCAGGGCTGGGGCAACCTGGGAAAGTCCACGGCCTCAATCAGATAAAGGACAGATGCTTTCCCCTAGCAACATTCAACCTGCATCCCTGTCCTCTGGCAGATACCAAGCCCAAAGCAGATGGCTGTTGCTCCTACATTATATACCCGCCTTTGTCACCCCAAAAGCATGATGCAAAACACCTGCCCCACAGAGGCGAACAGGGTGTCATCAGGCTCTGTGACAGTCCAGACCTGAGGCATATGAAAGCAGATGCTCTGGCCCATCCTAAATTTGAATGGGTTCCATTTCCCTCTTTTAAAACATCCATGCCTTGGATGTAGCTAAGCAACTTGCCCAAGAAGTGGAAAACTGGACAACTACCCTTCCCCTGCCCATCAGTGGATGTGTTAGCTGAGTATGGGCATGCTCCACCCATTTTGCTGAAGTTGTGCCACTCTGCAAGAAGGAAGAAGAGACTGAACGGGCCAGATGGAGCCCAGGAGAGCCAAGCCTGTATGCTGGGACCAGCTGGTGGGAGGAAGGCAAGCAGAAGACCCAAGCTGGAATGCCCTCAGGCTGCAAGGAGTATTGAACACCACCAACTCCATCCACTCCTAAGCAAGAAAAGCAGAGCAAGAGCACAACCAGTCTGGTCTAAAGGCTCACTGCCATCGAGAACAAGGTCTTGTTGCCCCTTCCAGGAGGTCCTAACCCCATACCCCGAGCCAGCTCTGGTGCTCATCAGCCCTATCAATTCACTAATCTGACAAAAATCTGCCCTTTTTGTGAACTTAGCGTGGGAAGAGCACAACGAGCATCAGA